ACACACAAATTAGTACCATTATCCTGACCTCACGCAAAACAAGGAGGGGAAAGGAGGAAAGATGGGATGAAGAGTGGTGAGAAGATGACAAATGGATCAATGAGGAGAGGAAAGGAGAGTAGAGAAAGAACATGAATGTAGAGACTGCAAAGAAGGAAAGATGTTAGTAATGCAGAGGAAATGAGAGAAGAAAATGATAGCAATGAGTGGAAAAAGAAAGAGGTTTACTGATTTAAAACTTAAAAATGCAGAAACATTTATATCCATAAGAACAACTGACTGCTAAATCAGGATCTGCCAGTTATGCGAGCCAACTAAAAGCTCTAAAACCTGTTCTTTATATGATTAAAGCTTACACTATTTCCAGAGATAACATCATGGTGACAGACTAACTTAAAATGAATTTGTTACACTTACATGTTTTGTCTTAGAAACTAGAATAAAGTAGCCTGTAATAAAATAAAAGCAAGACACATCCTAATTGGGCATTTAGTACAAGTAGAGAGGCAGAAGCAGAAGAAAACTATCAGACTTCCTTCCTGTATCCTTCCTATACTTCTCCTTGTTTTATATTCAGGTGCAGTGATAGCATTTAAGCTCACCTCCTTAAAAATTGTCCTTCTCTCTCTATTTTAAATTTGATGTGCACATCCATTGACAAGAATAGCTTTATGACCTTCAGAAAACAGTATCTGATTGATGCCTGGTTTCTCTAAGCTGTAATGAAGGACTTCAACTACAGGTTCCACTATACATAAAAAACAGTAACACTTCACAGTAGTGCCATAAATACTACGTTTATATCTCTGCTTTTTATACTATAGTCACAAAAACGGGACTTGCCAACATTTGAATGATGATGAAACGGTTAAACTTAGAGCAAGGCTATGATACAGTTATTTGATTTGTACCTCACCATAGTGAAGTAATAAAATAAACAATAAGCCAGAGTGCAAAAGAAGACCAAAGTTGCAGATAAACCCTTACATTAGGCAACAATTTTATATCGAGGTATTAAGTGTCAGAAACCTCAGAACTACCTACTAACTGCAATGTGATGTGATCTACGATCTAAGAGTGAATGTAAATGTGAAATGACCACTATTTTTGTTTCAAATGTTATATGCAGAAAAAGTGTGTCAGAAATCTTTTAATGGCCTTGCAAAACTGTACATGCAGCACTCTTCCACAGACAGATGAATATATATGTATATGTATATGTGTGCACACATGTGGGATCACGCAGATACGTGTCAAAGTGTCCAGCTGGTTCATTAAACAGCACACAGATCAATTCTTAATTTGCTTTGTATCCATACTAATACATGCACCAACACACACCCTAAATCTCCCTAAAACATGCGTGCAGATATACGCACAAACACACACAGACAAACACACACACACCTCCATCACTTCAGAGATTTGTCTTCAATCTCCACACAAACTAAATATTGTTCAAACCCACTGAGTTTGTCTGTGAGATTATTTCTGTGTGGACTGTTTGGGTTTTTTCCCCTTATTTATATATTTTTGTTTTGTTTTTTATGCAACATGCATATTCGTTCCTCAAATTATAATGTCGTATTAAAGGCACATAGGTTGTTGGTGCCTTGGAGCACTGTTCACGTTAATAATTGATCAAATTAAACCTGTACACTGAAAAATGACGCTTTAGTCACTGCAGGCATGGCCGGTGTTCCACATTAACTGGTGTTTGATTGATTAGTGATGGTGAAAACAATGTGTT